TTGGAGTACAATAGATTATTTTCAACCAGTCACCATTTAGATTGTTAAATTATGTGTTTTTATTCGTGGTTGTACGTATATTAACATAATTGTTTATATAAAAAACATTTCCAAAATTTTTTCTTGTACTTCACTCACCTAAAATAGCCTGAATAGCTAAATCGGCTGTAAAAGAATCCATCGTGGAAGGTTTTCCAAATTAATATAAAATCATTGTATCCGATTTTCACTTCAACAAAACTTCTCTCACATTTTTTTAACAAAAATTCATAATATTTTAAACTGTTTTCATAAATTATCTTTCCACGTTATTTGACACTTTTGACAGTTATTCTGTCCCAATTCCCGAACGAGTAATAACAAATAACAACTTGCTTTATTACTCCACAGCGTTGCCATGTTCTCATTGTTTAACATTGAGAGAATTGTTCAGAAAATTTCTGAATTATATAATCAAGATAGAAATAAATTAATAGTAAAACATATTTTTGAGTAAAATGTTTCATTCACTAGCTCTAAAAAATAAACTTCAAATTAAAGCAGACGTATCAATTTATTATACTACAGAATTTATACGATATGAAATGTTATCACGAGATTTAATTAATTTCCAAAGAATGCTAGAATTACTTAATCAAGATCAAATTGCAAATTGTATTCTTGTTTCTACACAGGTGAATCTCGCGACAAGCTTTTTTGTCATATTATAAGTTGTATAATGTGGAAACCTGACTCGAAAAACTTCGTACTGCCTTGCAACTGAAAAATGTGTTAAGTTACTAGCCGAGATATACTTATTATTGTATTTTATTGTGTGCAGCTTGAGCCTACCTAGTAAAAACAGTAGACCTGGCAACACTGGTGCTCCTCTCGTGTGTTTTCTTCTTCATCTACAGTCAATTGATGTTATTTTGTTGACTTTGTTACATTCTTCTATAATCTTATTGCTTTGCTCATTTCACTACAAATTCGTTTTGAATTGAATTAAATTTTAGATTGGCTTCTTCAAGAGCCAATTCATTAAGAACTTTTCTCACTATTTTACTTCTGAATGAAACGCCTGTCATTGAATTGTCCTTTGTATATGAAATAACTATTCTATACATTGGTTCATGAGTGACAGGTAGTTCTTTTTAAAATATGATCTTCATTCCAGCAGGAGTTTAGAGCTGAAGTCGAAACGTTGGTAAGACTGGCCTATTCAGAAGGAACGATAACTCTACTCACTGGATTAGTGTTCATAGTTTCATCAACGGGGTTCGTTACAAGGAGCTGTAGCAGTAGCTGAGGATGGTGCGTTATAAAAAACTAAATGACTCCATCATTTATGTATCAGAATTCAAAACTGCCAAAAATGATTCGCGCCAACAAAGAACTTTTCTAGAGAGGGCCATCAACAGAAAGAAAGATGAAAGAACGGATTTATTCGTGACAGGTCTATAGGAACTCTTCAAGACATATTTGACGAAAGGTAGTGCATCTAGGGCAAGAAGGCGACTTACATGCTATAACTGTGATTTTTAAATTCGACATCGAAAAGGAAAGAGTTACGGAAACGCACATATAGCCTCTCAAAAAGGCTATGCGTGACATCCGGGTGCAGTTTCCAGAAGAAGAACCTTCCACCAGACGTGACAAGGTTGCGGGCAGATACTACTTCATAGGCAACTTTGGGTACTCTCTGACCCTTAGGATGGCAACCTGTAAGGGTCCTTTGTCCAGGGATACGGACAAAGGATGTGAGAAATCAATCACCTGATCATGGTGTGGTATGGTCGTTAAAAGATTCCAAGGGTGACATTACCTTCATGTATCGCAAAAGGAGGATCCAATCTTGAAAACTGCGCGGGAATGAATTGACAAATGAGTGAATCCGAAATGGCAAAAGATTTCCAAGCACGGCCAGCAGGAAAAGGGTTACTGGCCCTAATTTCGAAATGGCTTTTTCGCTCGGAAATGGGAAAGCCCAGTTGGAAGAACTCACAAATTCCAGATGATCCGCCTGAAGCGGGTCTCGTACTGGAGGGTGTTTCGGAGTAAAGGTCGCTCGATAGCCAGGCGGTTCGACGTAGGTGCTTTGTTCACTCACTCGAATTGACTGCCGTGTTTGTCGGTGGTTCAAACTCTAGTCTGAACGATCGATTTTCATTTGCTATCGTCCAACCCATGTTAGGAATCACACGTTAAAAGGTAATACCTCGTTAATCCTTAGCTCGCCCAAGTTTCTACTTCTGAGGGTTGTCGTTCGTAGGGGTGCGATAACTGATTAACGGAAAAACAGAGTTTGAATAGAATTTTTTTTAACAGAACTCTAGCGAGTGTGCGTGAGAGGTACTATTGGGTTAATTGCCGGGGGGACGTGAAGGGGTGGTGCAAGCGCTGTGACCTGTGCATCTTGAGGAAGGATCGGAAGACAAGGTCAATGGGAAAGTTGAAGCAGTATTTCAGTGATACCTTTCGAAAGAATCGCCGTCGACATTCTGGGACCACTTCCTGTGACCACAACCGGTAACAAGTACCTAATGGTTGTGATGTACTTTTTCTCCAAATGGCCTAAAGTAGTTGTCTTACCCAACCAAGAGGTTGAAACGGTAGCAGAAGCCCTGTTACAGAACATGATTGCCAGGCACGGAGTACCTAGGAGGATGAAGATATGATTTGACAAAAAGTTGATTCCAGTGAGCTTCAAGGAGGACGATACAGTGTGTGTCTCTACCAACCCCAACGTCTGAAATGTGTATGCCCCAAATTGTAAAAACCTCCGCAAATATGTTACTTGGTAATCAAAAAGATAAACACAGAATACAGATATACAGAATCCAATTGTCACCCAGAAGTCTAAAGTTGTCCACATAGAGCGACCGAGTCCTTATATGGGTCGTCATGTTCATACTTGGAATGCTGTTAGGGGAAAACAACCTCGGGAAAGGGGGTAGTGTTGTATATTATCCCCTGAAAAAAAAAACACTGCCGGGCTGGAATTTACTGGTCGACCTGGCCAAGGTTGCGCTCAACCCTACTTGTATTATAAATCCTTCTAGAGAATATTTCTATCGGCTTTCGAAGAATTCTATCGAGATATATAAGCACTACCAACATGTACAGGATACAGTCTAGTTGAGAGTGAGCTAATAAGGCGATGAACATTTGAGAATTAGTCTGTTCAGTTGAAATTTATGTGTTGTATTGACCGTGTAGTATTGAAATAAAGTTGAGTTTGATTGTGTGGTCAATTATTGTCGAACCCGAATATTTTGCTGAGCTGGACAGCGGCTCTTAAATCTATGATTCCTCGACTGACTCTGTCCTTTCGGCGGGTTGGTAGACCAACATGTTTAACCAAACTATCTTTATTTCACAACGTTTACGTTCTCTAAACATTCGACGAACATTTCATTGTTGTCAATAATCACCCCAAGATTGTCTAAAGTTCATGATATGTGTGTATCTATCGTGTACGTGTATATTTGTAAGATATTTTGTGTCTTGGATGCCTAATCCAGTTGCTACTTTTCATTCAGTATTCCGTCACAGAATACCTTACAGAATGGACACTCAGCACGGAACAGTAACCATGAACCTTTTGAGAATCTTAAGGTGATTACTGTCTACCTAAAAATTTCGTCGAGTAATTACTGAATTTGAACATGGTAAATTCCATGTACATCAAGCGCCAAATGTGATGGCAAGCCCGCCTTCATGCGCACAAACTCATTTTCAATGTAACCTCCACTACACCTTTTGCAAGACATGCAAATGCTCTGTACAGAAGCGTATCATTACTTGTCCTCCAATGCTGTTGGCGTTTGGCATTGTCTGAATAATTTGTGTTGTTTCTGAAAAAATGTCATCGCCTAACAAAAAACCAGTCATCAAGAGTCAGGCACGTGAAATAATTTTTAATGCTCCAATAATGCTCCATATCATGATATTCAAATTAATCCAGCCCCCAACACAAATTCTAGAAAGGCTGAAATGGTGAAGTGGCTTCAGAAAAAAACATTATGTTCACCCCTAACATTCTCAAACCCGAATTATACGAGTTGATTAGGGTAAATAAAAAACATTATATTCGATACTGATTTGATGAGGTTCTGCTTGAACACGGACATAACGTTTTGCGCGTTCACCCTACCATCCGAATTTGAATCCCATTGAACTCATTTGGGCAACTGTCAAAACCAACATGTCCCAAAATAATGTACCTTTCAAGTTGGAAGATGTGAGGAAATTGGCGGAGCACGAGTTTGATCACTTCCGAAGAATGGCAAAAGCGTTGCCGACATGTAGTAGACATATAGCGGAAATATTCGGAAAATGAAACATTCACAGACGTTCCAACAGAGGTAAATCCAGTGAATATAAATTTAAATGATGATAGCAGCACAAGTAGCAGTGAAGATGAAAAAATTTTTTTATCAGATAGTGACTGATTAAAGTTTATTTTTGGATAAGTATATCATTATATAACACTTTATGAACTGTACTACTGCCTATAATACCGAGTGAAATATGAAAAAAAATCATATTTCATTTGCTACCCCAATTAAAACTAATTGTAGGTACGACACTGGCCGGCAAGGGGCTTATCGTAATCCAGTAGTAATTTAGTTGGTAGAGACTATACTTGCGCGATCGCTCGCTATCAGCCGTGTACAGTAGTTTGTTTGAAATTTTCGACATGTTGGCCTCAAAATCTATCGAGATGTCATCGTAATAATTCCTCGATTGCGTATACGTAGTTATGCGAATCGCTTGTGCGAGCGATTTATTAAATTCTGTATTAAACTTTTGTGATTTTCCATCGAGTAATCCTTACGATATTTCAACACGAACCTTGAAACTTTAATTTTAAACTAGATTATTGATTGAGTTCTATGTTCGTTCGGCATATGACACTTTTTACACTAGGGTTTGAAAATGGAGATGATCATTGGTTGAATCAAAGTTGACAGTTCGAAGGAGTGAAATTAGAACATATTCTTGTAAAACTAAAAAATTGTTGATTGACCTAGTAACAGCTGTTTACAATTACAATTTACGTGAATGTGATTCAGAATGGCCGACAAATCTTGCCAATTTTCCAACAATCTTTATGTTTCCCAGCCAAAGAAACGAAATTGGTGAATACCAACTTTGGCACTTTTCAAAGTGTTATAGATGAGCAAATTGAAAATCTTAAATATAAGGGAATTATATATGTGGGAACATAATCTAAATAATTTATATATGTATATAGGGGTTTATTGGCAGAATCAAAAATAGGAAAATAATCTATGTAAGTTAGTCACTGTAGAAAATCTTTGATATATGACTTTTCCTAGTTGGCAAGTTGAGGCAAGTGTTGAAGGTGATTAGAATTAGTTTTTTTTAATTTTAGGTTACAATATTCATAAAAATATCTGCCTAGGATGGAAGGAGATAAACCTCCACCTAAGAAAGAACGCAACTTCCCAAATCTCGACCTATCGGACCAATCTACCCTTAATGCAGTTCAGCAACCTGTTTTAATAGTTCAGTCTCCAAAAACACCAACTTTGTCAAAAAAATTAAAAGCAGTTAGCCTGGACTCCGATCCGCCTGAGTCCGATTCATGTTTAGAAGTATCTAGAGATGTATTTTCTATGCCAAACACACCAAAGCGACAAATAAAGCCTAGGCTATCATGTGATTTTGAAGATGGAACCCACAGGTCAACACTAGCACCTAGTTTTAGTTCAAATCTCAAGAAGTTTGCCTCAAATACAAGCATTTCTGGTTCTCAAACTCTCAAAACTCTACCAGAAATTATGACATTACAAGATTTTTCTGATGGGCCTGTGGTTGCACCCATGAAAATCAAAGCAAAGGGATTATTAGAGAGGAGGGGATCTAACGCAAGTCTTACAATAGATTTGGGATCAAATTCCAGTATTAGTGAAGTTAAACCACCTTTCACTCGACTGAATACCGCAAAGAGTGTTTCTAATCTCAATTTATCTAGTTTGGAAGTGACAGATAAATCTTGTCATTGCTTGAAAAAATGTGAGGCACAAGCTAAAGCATCCGAAAGAAGGAAGTCACAAGAAGCTTGTGGAAATTGTATAATTTACGAATCCGTTCCAAGCAAAATAAGTGGTTGCAAAGCTAAATGCCAAATTTTGAAAAAATGCAACTGCTGTGCACAATCTCGCAGAAAATCACTGTCAAATGAAAACTTATATGTACCTCCTTGTGGATTTTGTCAAACAGGAACTCTCAAAGATTGTATTGGTTCTTCTAAGCACTGCAAGGGTTACAGAAAGGCATGTTATCCTCGCCAACCTGATTTGGAGTCTTCTCAGTTACTTTCTGAAGATTTTAAACTCCATTTACAAAATATCCAGTATTTACAAACAGCTGGTAACATATTATCTATTAGTGATTTGCAACAATCTTGTGAGGTAAGGACTTTCTGCAATTATTAATAACAAAGTCCAATGAATTGTTGAAAAAAAATGTGATGATTTCATAGGTAGACATCCTCGAGCGTCTCTTGCAGATACTAATGTGACTTGATCATCCATGACTATAATATCTCCAGTGCTAAACACAGTGACGATCCAATAAGCTTACACTGAACTTAAATAATTCATCAGTCATTTGGACATATAAATACAGGGTATACTATTTCATCTCATATTTTATAAAGAGTTTCTCTTAAATAATCAACATACACAATCTATAATTAAGGCAATGGCATTATGTTTATTTCTAAACATACATTTATCTCTCACTTGAGTGAGAGTTACATCTCCAGTGGCTACATAGTTCTTGATTTTATTATATATGTTCTGGCATAGTTCTTCACGGATGATATTACATGCTGAAGTGTCATCCCTATCTTGCCAAAACGTTCTAATAATCTCAAAGATCAAAGATAAATAGATGTACACCCGGTATGACACTTCAGATAAATAGCAGTCACTTACAAAAAAACTCTGATATCTAAAGAAATGAACTTTAAATGTTCAAGCCAGTCTCGAATATACCTACACAGTAGGTTGAATGGACTGACGCCTATCAGAAAACAATTACTCCCCTGGCTAATACCACGTAGTTGTTTTCTGATAGGCGTTAGTCCATTCAACCTACTGTGTATATTCGAGACTGGCTTGAACGTTTAAAGTTCATTTCTTTAGATTTGTTTACTGTTACTCTTCAAGCATAGCCCACTGACTAATAAGAAAACTCTGATATATTTGTGTATGAGAATTACACATATATTTGCCTTGAAGGTCAGAATCTGCCTTTGTTTTCAGAAAGTAAAGAATGAATTGGCATATTCTACATTTCAAAACACTTTTGATATATTCGAGGGAGTTTGACAATAAAACAAATCAAAGAAGGAAAACTTTAAGTTATAAAACACATTTTTCTTTGTGAAAAATATGTTGAATTCATGCAGTAACATATAGGGGCGAACAAGAAGTTTGCTATTTCTGTATCTGTATAAAGTTCTCCATTACAATTTTTATTTTTTACAGATTGGGGAAGGCGAGAATCACCAGAGAAGTCAACGAAAAACTCCCCATTTCTTCCACAATTTTTTTTTCATTATATGGCAGTCCCTGAAACATATTAGTTTCAAATGTGAAGCAATTCCTCAAAATAATGTGAATACTTAACCAATTCCGATTCTAGATATCCATTTCTGTTGACACATATGAATCTGCAAGTATCCAAATGATCAATTCGCACTGTTACTCACTATCGCCTTCCCCATTTTGTTATCAACATAGTTTGCTCTTCTATTCTGTAATAGATACTAAAAGACTATCACTACACAAAATGTAAATATTTTTCATTGTAAGCTTGCTGTCGTAGAAGAAGCTATTCTCAATTCTCAATTTCTTATCTATCCACAGTAAGAAACTTTTTATGAGCTTATTGTTCATAACATATCGTTTTTTTTATACTACTGCACTCGAATTCTTTATTCAGTTATGTGTTTTCATACATTTGATATTTCATTTTACCATTCTGTATTAAACTTTGGTTGTGAAGTAGTGTACTAAATGAGTAAAATCCTTAAGAAAAATTAAACATGTGAAGGTCATTCAATAATCTGTCATAAAACGCCCCATGTTCAGAAAATTGTTTGTTGTTTCCATACATCTTTAAAACTGGAACCTTTGGTTAACAATGAAGCCATCAGAAATGTAATACTTTTCTTGACTTGCATTTCACTAACCAAGTTGTCGAGTATTGCATTTCCGGTGATTGGAAAAGTGCTAGTTTTGGATTTATCTTTCAGATGTCATTCTCAAACTAGCTTTTGATCTTTGTAATGGACAATTTCCATTACATACAGACAGGCCAAAACTAAAACATAACTTCTGAAATATATTCATATAAGACTTTATTGTGTTTTACTTGAATGAGTTATGGATTTTCATCAAGTATCGGTCAATTCCATGAGTTTTTAAGAAAGTCTGGCTGTAACATTCTTTCTAGATCTATGTGCTTTTTTCTGTATTAGGAATATCTTCTGTGCAGAAGGAGAATTTACCCTTAATAGAGACTGGATTTTGTCCAAGTAGACATTCCTCAGACAATATGAAACAACATTCGTGTAACATTGGATTTAATGTTTTTTTTATAAGGCTTTCAATCACATTGGTAATACGTTCATGCTAGCAAAGATCATCCTCCAAAGTTGTACAGTCTTTTTATTATTGTATTCATTTTTATTTGTACTGAAAGGAAATGGCAACACTGTCAACCCTGAAACGAAACATTAACCGCCACTATTGGCAAGTGAGATTCAGCGGTCTGTTACCTTTCTACTTGTAAGGCACATGTTGTGCTGTGCATTAATCATGTTACAGTTCAAAAATATAATGTATAATAAACATATTGCATTGTTTATTAGTCGCCCCTGACAAGGGTGATCTTTAGCTCAGCAACAACAAAAGTAATGCACACAAAAACTTTATAGGCTGAGTTGTTAATAATATTAGTCCCATCGATTTCAGTTGGGAAGAATCATCCCCTGAATTGTATGGAAGATTGGAAACTCTTGCTTTTTTCTGTCTGAGAGATTGTTATTTCCTTTAGGAGCAAACGCTGTATGGATGAAACAGTACCCTGTTTGAATTATTCAGAAAAGTGTTTTTGACAAAATTATTTGTTGAGGCAACAAAAGGGAATAGTACAGAATTCCAGAAAGTCATTCATTTTTCATTATGTTATGTTTGCTCACCTGGATAGCACAAGAGGCATTGAAGTTTCAAAAATGCTTTATTATGTATACCTAATACTAATGTACACTCTGTCAAGATCTTAGCTTTGACTTTTCAATGCCAAAAATCCCTAAACCTCTCTTTCCAGGCAACAACTGATTACCGAAAAAATATTTGTTGTCTTTGAATTAATAAAATATTGATGAATAAAATATGACAACCTTCCCAATGTTTTCATTATACCAATATCGGCAACTAAAGTTTTGTTGCTTTTTCTTAATTGAATTGTGTATGTCCTATGTACATACCTATATTATATTTTGGATTGATAGTCTGGCTAATCATCAAGTATTCAAGTTTGATCTGGGTGTCTAGTGGCAATTATTAAATATCAATCATTTGAATTCCGTGCTCCGTGACTAGTGAAAGGTTCCTAATATTTTCACACCATAATGAAATGAACATCTATCATAAGTTATGAAAACTAAAAAACATTTCATTATAAACAAACAAAATCTGCCCTATACCTACATCTCTATGTATAGTACCCAAAAAAATTATCAGATATCTGACGGCGCAACAGAAATCTCTTTCCAAGTCTCATGTATTAACCAGTGATATGTAAACTTGCTATAGGTCACTGTCATTCACAAACAGAATTGCTATATTGTTACCTATCTACATCTTTATACAAATCGAACAAAGCATTACTATTTTCTCTTGACTAATCTCAAAGTTTGATGAAAATGTAAAATAAATAAATTGAAATTTATTAGACAAAATACTTTATTTTTGCATTCTTGCAATTGTTCTTGATGTAGAACTGTAAAATTTGTAGCTGTGAATTTTTTTAATAGGCGATCAATAGACCACCAATGCATATTCCCATTTCCACTTAATAAAAGCATTGAAAATTATTTGTTAACTTCCATTTCAGCTCTTTAAGGTAAAATTTGGTTTGAAGATTTGTGTCATCAGGTACTCAATTGTGTTTTGAAGACTAAACGTAGAAGTAAAAATTGAGCCAAGATCTTTTAGTTTATAAAGAAAAATAATTCCACGATGGATTGATTAGAATCTAATAATAATAATAATATCCTTTATTGCCATATAAATCTACAATGGACAGGGCAACGTCAATAGGTTTTGATATTTACAATATTTGTTATATATAATGATAATAATAGTATAATAAGGTACAGTACAATAATGAATAAGACGGTTGAATAATAATATAGTAACAATAATAATAGTAATAGTAATATCCCTCCTATAAATCTACATTGACGTCAATGGGTTAAGATTTGCAATAGGTGATATTTATTACAACTACAGTTCCCATATCACAATTTTTATAATTGGTCAACATTACATGTTGGATAATTTAAGAAGGACTATTAAAAGAATTTTTAAAAGAATTTTACGCAGTACTCAGTTATGGTGCAATCGCATAGAGACCCATCACCAACTGTCGAAACTATAATAAACTTTGGTTTTTAGATAATCAATGACTGAGAGTCTGAATTTGTTGTGGTTTTCTGTATTTCTAATTTCTCTTGGGAAAGATTGATACGCTTTTATGGCTTTGTAATGCGGTTCTTTTTCAAAATATGATGAATTATGTCTCGGTATGCTTAGTTCATTCTTGTGTCTGATATTTATAGTCATTTGGTTTGAGTAAAGATCACAGCTCCTCATGAAGATACCATAATGTTTTTTGACAAACATGACTAATTGCAGAAAATAGATTGAAGGAACTGTTAATATGTCTAGCATCTTGAAGTGTGGTCTACATATTGATCTATGAGGTAGTTTTAACATACAGCGAATTATCCTTTTTTGAGTTTTGAAGATTTTATATGACTGTGTGGATGATCCCCAGAAAATAATTCCGTATTGAATAATAGATTGAATATGTGCATAATAGTATATCTTCAGACTATCTAATGATACTTGATCTCTTAGTGCACGGATTAGACCTACTGTAGTACCCAGTCTAGAGTTAAGTTTGTTTAGATGGATGTCCCATGTAAGATTATTTTCCACTGTGATCCCTAAGAATTTAATATCACTTATTTCAGGAATAGATTTGTTAAGCAATTTGGCATATATCGATTCTAGCCTATTTTGGGATTTGCTGAATGTTATAAGCCCTGTATTTCCTGTATTTAATTTTAGGTCATTTTCCTTGCATGTCAAGTTTCTGCTGCTGAATTGAAATTATAATGTGTTTCTATCATTTTCAGGGTTCTCGAGTTCCAAAGTTACATCAAGAATTTTGGGAAGTACCATTGAACCTTCAGGAAAAGTGCTATGCATCTGGTAGCCAAAGTCGTAATAGGTATAGAGGAGTATTACCTAATGAACACAGTAGAGTTCATTTACCTGGATCACAAAATTATATTCATGCCAATTACATAAAAGTGAGTAAATAACAACTGTAATCTTCATGAAGATGATAATTATTTCAATATCCTTTTTCAAGGGCCCAGATTATACAGAGACAGTTTATATAGCTACTCAAGGTCCAATGGCTCATACTTGTCAAGATTTTTGGGAAATGGTGTGGAACACACATGTAAGTAGAGGAATTCTTTTTTTAACATCACAGCTATCTGCAATTACTATTTTTCAGTGTAAGTGCATCGTTATGCTCACTGGACTAATAGAAAAAGGTAGGAGCAAATGCGAACTATACTTTCCTCTAGGTAAAACAGATGATACAGTGGAAAAATCATTTTTCTATGTGAAAACCACTAAGGTACGAGATAAATTTACGTTTGACATGAAGAATAATACTCAACAGTACGATGAGGAAATTCACACTTTTGAGGAATTGGATGAAATATCATTTGGGAATTACAAAATAACTTATTTACAAAGAAGTAGTTTAGATGAATGTCAAATTAGACTATTAGAAGTTAGAAAAACTGATTCGACAGAAGAAGCTAGATTCATTCACCATTATTGGTTCTCTGACTGGCCAGATCATAAAATGGCCAGCCCTGAACAAGTATTGAAGATAGCTTTGGATGTTTTAGACTTGATGGATTCAAATAAGAAACTTGACAATAATATAGCTGACATATCGAAAAGTATTGATGAATCTCTTTTGAAAAGTACAAAAAATAAATCTGATCTCAGAATTAAAGGTTGCTATGATAAGTTGAATTCTATTGACAAAAAAAAACATTACTTCAACAAAAGAGAGTCGACTCTTGCCTTGCTGAAAAGTAATCCACCCCAAGAGCGTAGGAAGTCAACAGAGAATATAAAACTACCTGTAATAGTACATTGTAGTGCTGGTATTGGGAGAACAGGATGCTTCCTAGCTATATTGAATGGCATTCAGCAGTTGAAATTAAATCGTAATGTTGACGTTTTAGCCATTTTGTGTTCTTTAAGGTTAAATAGAGGTGGTATGGTTCAAACAGCTGAACAGTATGAACTTATACACCGTGTTTTGAGTTTGTATACAGAATCTATGACCTAAGTACTTCAGTTGCCAGTTTTTCGATCAATGTTGAATTTATTGGGAAATATTCTGTAGTAGTTTTAATAACAGTTTGTGCGAATTCTAGCCATGACAGTGCCGTTTTCAGGTTGAATATTATATGAATATTATATGATAAGTTTGTGCAGCATTATTTTTCATCTTTCTGGTTTCAATCTGCACTCGACTGAAAGTGGATAGTTGTTGAATTTGATAGCTGAAACTCTATTGAAATGGGATATGCTGAAAATATAGGATTTTTCAACATGAAGTCAATGCCTTTTCAAAAGAAATAGTAGGATGATAGTCAGTATGGCCAAATGAGACTGACAAACTTCTCTGAAATGAAGTTTTGAAGAACTAAAAGAAAAATACCTGAAGCCAAAATTAAAAATAAATCAAATGAGTTCGATATGTATTTTTCTGCTATGCTAGATATGCAGGTTAGAGATAGGGCAGATTTTCACTTTTAAAATCAGTAGACAGATTTGAACCTTTTTTTAAATCACGGTAATAGACAAATATTTTGAACGGTAATTTTTCAACAGCATTTCATAAATATTACTCACAATCAGGGACCTTAACTAAATAGGTACATAAAACAAATTATCAACAAGTAATGAGTTATCTCTAAACGAAAAGAAAAAAGAGGATGGTAATCACTTTATCTAATGTTTTTTCAATTTTTTTGAATTGATTTTAGAATCCTGTTTTTTCAAAAGTAGTTCATTATGAGCTAATAAGACTTGGATTTCCTACTTTGATATTAATGGATGTTTTGAATGGCATCAAACTACAGAGATGACTGTTTATTTCCAATGATACCAGAATGAATGAATATACAAATTTTCAGTTTATACAAATGATGAAATAGAGTATTTTGAGTTAAAGAAGTGAGTAATTAAGTAAGTTCATCACTGAATATTCTCACACATACACAATACATTTTTTATATATTAAAACCTCATTGGACTAGTCATAACAAAACATGTATTATTAAATTGAACATCCTAATTTACAATATACATAAACAATAAAATATTGAAATTTTTAAATCATCTGAAAATTTAGGCATGGGATTACATCCTAATATCAAAAGTAACATAAACACAATGAGACATTGAAATGTTGATATTACAAAAAAAATCATAGATGTTATTTATAGCTTATAGCTGATTGGTTACAGCACTTTATACTAAAGAAAGTCGTCCATTGTATAGAAGAAGTTATCCATGAAAAATCTAGTTAATTCAATTTGTAGTGTTATTCTGTCTTTTTTTTTGTATCAATGAGATGTTTGATCTTATAACATTCAATTGACCGACACTAGTGCAAGAGAATGTTAGGTGTAATATATCTTTCTCTCTCAAGAGTTTTTTTGCAAATGACTGCTATTTATATTTGCTGTGTATATTTGCTCAATATGTCAATAATGCTAATAGATGGAAAAAAGGTTCAAATGAGGGGTCACATTTTGAAATTAGTTTCATGTTTACTGATTATTATTGCATGTTTTTGTGAGAGCAAATAATATAAATGTTTCAAATGGAGCAACCACGTTACTATTCGTTGAAGATTAGAATGAAAATTATTTAGAGTGATAATATGTAATAATAATAAATAACTTTATTGACAGGTTACTCAGTACAAGATATACTAACCTAACCTAACAAATGGCAGAATTCAACATCTGCACATGATAAATCAAGGCAGATATTACTCTTCCTTCCAACCATCCATCATGATATACCATTCTCAAGTCAGAGCTCATTTCTAACATTGAAAGGTGTGGCTGATGATGTGTGGCTGATGTTACTATTTAATTATTCATACTCGAACTGTCAAGAAATAATTATGAGGTTATGTCTGTCAAAGGGGATATATTTTCATTCAGAAGAGTATGAAAGTCATCATTGTACAAAGATAATTCTTTAGTTCCATAGGCCACCATGGACAAATCACATCTATAAACCCTGAAAGTTGAAAATGTGTTACCATATTGTCAAATTCACCCACCAACTCCGGTGGGAAAACATAATAATCCTCCCAGGTTAGCTCACAGTATATAAGACATACTTTCTAGTGCATTTGTATATTTTGGGCCTGCTTCTTCAACACCTATATAGTAGTTGGAAAGGTACATTCCCAGTTTTGACTTGTTGCATGTCAGTCCCTTATTAGTTGCACCAAGCACATGAGTAGTTGCATATTTCGCAAACCAAGTAAGATCTTTTCATATTTATCATCTCTAAGCTCAACCGTAAGATGCTATGTCTCTTCCTATTGCTACTGTATTTCATTAAAGAAACACTCGATTGTGAGATATACAGTAGACAGTTTACAAAACAGCAACATGTGTTTTGCTATATAATAGCTTCCTCAAGCGTTTTCATGTATGAAATGTACTGTTGCCACATCTTGCCGAGAGATTAGGTAGGTGTTCGATCAACCTAGGAAAGCCTCATAACCATAACATGGTCTGAAAACATAATTATTCCACAGTACCAACCTATACATCAACACCTTATTCAAAATCTGTTTAAAATATGTTTTTCCGTTAATCAGCTGTCGGCCCCATACGAACGCCAACTCTCAGAAGTTGGGAAACTTGTGCGAGCTAAGGACTAACGAGGTCTTACCTTTTAACGTGTGATTCCTAACACGGATTTTGATGATCGTTAAAGTGCAGTTTATGTGGATTTTAGGTAATATAATAATAGTAATTGTGCCTATTAATAATTCCATTCTTGTGGAAGGTAATTTTGTCGCAGAAATTTGTTATTTTTCAAACTCCTGGCGATTGAAGATTCTGATATCTTTAGATCTCTGCTAATTTCTACCACTGAAAGACGTGTTCCAGAATAAGTAATTTTATGTAGAACGTAAAAATAGATGTTTCCAGATCATTACATGCTACTTTGAGGTTCTCTGAGCCAATTCACCAGACAACTTTCAGATATTTCATAAAACAGCTTAATTATAGTAATTCCATTTACAGCCGGCAGTGCTGAGTAGGAAACTATGGGACCATTTTATTGACAAAAATTAACTGGTTGTTCTATTCAAAAAGTTTCTATTATTTGGTCCCACGAAAAAATGGAACACCATGTAAATCTTTAACTTATTTCAAAAGCTGGCCTTTATGGTGTCATATAACTTTCATTCAAAACTTTTTTTAAATCTATTCACATTATCGATATATCGCGCAATTACGCATTATTGGGGTACTAGGTATATTTATGTTTGTTATATTTTTCAAAAAATGGTTAACAAGTAGGTAAAGGAGATGCTCCGTCATGCAAAGAATGACCCCTTTTCGAATATAGAATGTACGGCCGTGTGTGCTGAGAAAAATATAATTAGGGATTATAAATAAAAGGCCTGGTGAAGATATTCTCTTACATAACATATAAATCTGAAATTTCAGATATATATTGCGGGTGACAATGGAATCATTGTACACAGCACCATTTAGTTGTTTCCAGGGTCTGGGGTTCATTGGAGACTTTATTTCTAATAAAAAATAAAATAAGTAAAAACATATGTTAAACGATTTTATTGAAAAAAAAAGATAATAGTGATGTAGATAATGTACTAAAATTTAAAAAATAATTCGGAAGGTCCTAGGTAGCAGACATCACATCTCATCAGATAAAAATAATAAAATCGATGGGCGTGGCGTTACCTGAGTAAATATGTAAATACTACGTCCAACGATTTTATTATTTTCTTTATCTGATCAATACCGCAGATTGCTGAGGAGAGTGGTGTGATGACTGCTACCTAGGACCTTCCGGATTATTTTTTAGCTTTCAGTACATTATCTATATCATTATTACCTTTTTTTCAATAAAACAGTTTACCATAATTTTTTTACTCGTTTAATTTTCAATTTTTTTAGTTTCTAATTTTGTTACTCAATTCTTCTCGTTCTGTTCAGTTCATTCAGTGCCTCAATATATTACAAGGTTTACTTTCCGACAATTTGCTGCAATTTAACTTGTCAATACATAAACCATTCCAAAGACTTTACTCGACTTAAGGCCATGTATGCTTGTCCTTCTTCAAACACTTTCGAGCCTAAATACACAACTGCGTGGTCTATAGTGCTGCCTTGCATTTTGTGGACAGTGGAAGCCCATGACAAAATTAAGGGAAACATCCTTCTTTCAGCCGTCCCATATTTAAAGTTTTCTGGAAACTGTATGGCTTTAGGGTGGATAAGATGTACGCCGTATCTTCCAAAGTTGATCTGAACTGACGGTACATCTGTTTCGTACATTTGAGTTCGACGAAACTGAGGCAAAACAGTTTCCGCAATGTAGCCGATAGCGCCGTTTACAAATGCTTTCGATATGTCAATATTTCAAAGTGTAATACTATTCTACTAGTCAAGTCCTGTCATTTGATACCCATATTGAAGTAGTTGTGAAATAACGTTTTTATTTATTGGGAATATTGAGTTGAAAAATGAAAAATAACAATAAATGATACAAATCAAGGCCGTATACGAGGGGAAGCAAAGAGAGCCAATATCCCACAAGTTTCCCAACTTCTGAGAGTTGTCGTTCGTATGGGTGCGACAGCTGATTAACGGAAAAACAGATTTTAAACAGATTTTTAAACAGATCCCTTCATTTGTCATTGACCGCAGCCCTCAGAATATTTTCATTTCTGAATTGAAAGGGGTATATTTTTAGGAAGGGTTAATTTTTCGGGAAAGAAAGGTTTCAGCTTTCAAGGAAAGCAAGGGATCAGTCAATTTCAAAAAAGTAATTCATTCCTAAATTGAAAAGGGTATATTTTTAGGAAGGGTTGATTTTTCGGGAAAGAAAGGTTTTAGCTTTCGAAGAAAGCAAGGAATCAGTCAATTTCAAAAAAGTAATTCTATACAAAGATATGTAGATCATGCGAAGAAGTAACTTTCATACACAAACTGGAAGAAAAAGCTCTCCTTTAACAGCTACTTTCATATAAACATTGAATTACAAGAAAGAAAAATACTTTCGAAACAAATACTTTTATATGAACACTGAATTATACTAAAAATACTTTTCTCTATTCGTTTGTATTCCAAAAATTCGTTATCGAATTGAATCAGATATCATTCACTGGATTCCTACACAATATACTAAATGA